GAAAATCCCCCCAACCCTTCTCTTCCCACCGATGTGGGACAAATAGTTTTGCCAAATTCAACATTACGTTCCATCGCTTTTAAGCATTTATCATGCATCTCGTCTTTGCACCTTCTCAACAAGATATCTAAACATCTGTTGCATAAGCAATAGTGAAATACCTGATGACGGAAAACCATATAAGCAAATGCGAAGAAGACTATGATGAAAGGCAGGAGTACGGGTGTGACCACTGAGTACACAAGGCCTAGTAGAAAGTACAGTTGTATGCGAGGTTCTGATACAGAGAAATTCAACGAACCAGGATCTGTAGCCTGCTCTCTATCCTGATCTGTCTTTACCAGAAACGTATTCTTAAGATGAAACATAACTAATGGAACCAATCTAAGAATCTCTGCAGCAATTCCAGCCCAACCATCAACCATTATGTAGGTAATGAAGAAAGTAGCCTTCAACGGAATAGCTACACCAACTGTTTTTGGGATTCTGAACAAAAAGGAACAGGTTAAACAAGCTGTGTATATGATCAAGACAGAAAATACATAATCAATAAACCAAGGGATCCTTTCATATCAAATACAGAGAAGTTATGTAATACTAAGGAATTTCCTGTAAACACATTCAGACTCCTTTAACAATAATCTAAAGTGTCGCTTAAATAATCCAAATTCTTGATGCTTCACTCTTCAGCACACATAAAGAAGTCCTATGATAGATCGGTCAATGTAATGGCATCTTCAGTTACAGTTTTCGCTGAACATCATATAATGAAAACTATTGCTGCACTTTGAGGGAAATATTGTTCAAAGAGCACTGCTAAAGAATTAAAATGTTTCAGGTCACAAGCAGGATTCAGCTATCAATTTGTAAGGAACGTTTCCACAGATACAATTCTAGATAACAGTGAGCTCCTAATGCCAAGAGGTTGATTTTTCAGATCATTCCAGTCTCTGAACCAAGAAAAGTAAACAATCGAAGGAGGTAACATGTTTGTCACCAAATAATGTGAATGTAATCTTCTTTCCTCTTTCTTATGTTATTTTTTTTTATATCAAAACAAAAAGATTGGTTCTTTCTAGCACCCCAAGAAAAAGATCCGTGAACATGTCATCATGTCTCCCATTTAGACGAGCAGTAGGAACTCACTCTGATGGAGGCTCTTCCACAAATCTCTGTAGCTGCTCAAATGCTGCTCCAGTGATGATACTTCCCAGGAACACGTTGACAAGGATAAAAAAATGATATTTAGTTGCTGATCTTCTGTCCAAAGATGAAAGTGATGTATAGCCTTCTATTTTTGACATGGCCATTAGAATCGTAGGAAGAAGAATCAGAAAAATCTTCAGTATAATCCCAGGAAGAACACCTTGGATAAAAGATTTGACAACTTCCCTGTAACAGGAATTCCAGAAGAAAGAACCTCAAAAATTGATTTATTAAATACTCCCTCTGTTCCAGTTTATGTGAACCTATTTCCTTTATGGTCCGTTCCAAAAAGAATGACCCCTTTCTAAATTTGGTAACAATTTAGTTTAAACTTACAATTCTGCCCTTAATGAGAAGCTTTTATAACCACACAAATACTCTGGGGCCCCTTTTGCTTTGTTTAGGACCACAAATTTCAAAAGTCTTCATTTTTTCTTAAACTTCGTGCCCAGTCAAACAGGTTCACATAAATTGGAACGGAGGGAGTACATGATATTCTCAAGTACATAAAATCAAAAAGGAGTCCTCAAGTGCAAATATTGAAGTTTGATGCTTAATTTTTTGGGTTTCTTTGTCTTTCTAGATAAGTAAGCTAAACTGATGGCTTTTAACCTTCCCCATGAAAAGATTTTGCAAGGGCATTGAAAACAGTATAAAAGTATACACATAAACCTCTATCCGGTACTCTGAACGCTTATATGGAATGGGTAGAAATATTCTTATGGTATAATCACCCATCACTACAACAGAGTTTCGAAGTGATCCTTCTTTTTTTCCCCCTCTCTCTTTGACGCATAAATACTAGCACCTGTTTTACTAACAACGTAAGAAGATCACTTCCTTTTTTTTATAAGTAAAAAATCACAAAGTAAGAAGATCACTTCCTTTTTTTTATAAGTAAAAAATCACAAAGTAAGAAGATCACTTACATCTGTATCAACGGCCTCAAGACGGGAAGTTTATTCTCAATACCATCAATGCTTGCCAAAGACTGAACGAATGCAATAGGGATCATAAAAAAGAATGTAAGAAAGAAGAAAGCAACAGCCATTAGCAGTTTGCGGACATTGAGTTCAACATATGGTATTGATAGATTATCCCAATAGACATCACGTGGTTCAGGAGCCCATTGTGTCAACCAAATGGTTGGGTTACATGATTGTTGTGTTTGAGCACAGACAGCCGCTCCCCAACGAGATTTAAATGAAACAAATGCTGCAGGAACTATTGCCTTGGGATCACTCATAACTTTTTCTCTTTCTAAAGCTTCCTACATCAAAGAGTAAGTCTGTCAGAGTAAGTCTATTACCATATTGCAGCAGGCAATCAAAATAAATTATTTATTGCTATAACTATTAAATCAAGACTTCTCCATTTGCAACATTTATCTTGTCTCACTAATTGGTTGGCCCATAAAGTGAAGTTTTAGGTGTAAAAGGATTGGAATCTCTACTAGTAAAGCAAAGACAGGAACCCTATGTATCATTCAACATAAATCAACACAAATTGATCAAAAATCACCTTATACAAGCTAGCATACAATTAGGTTCAGCCATTAAAATCATCAGTACTACCACAGGTTATGTCACGTTTTACGTTACTCTAAATCCGAAAATCATCATATTTGACAAGAGACACCAAAAGAAGCTGAAATTTTTTTCTCCCATGCTAGCTAAAATCAAACATTAGTGAGAATAAACATTTTGGCATAATTCATGCAAGGGTTGGCCAGGAAAAAGCTCCTGGTTTATTTTGGATTCCCTGAACGCAGATTAAATTTCCCAATGTACTACGTTAATATAACTATGCGCTGCACATATATATGCATCTTCTTTGCTCTATATATAAAAGAGCTAGTTGAAAGTCGTGATTTCTTCAAGATGGTGCTTAAAATATGGAAAGATCTGAGAGGTCACATTTTTATGCATGAGCATGTACTCCCATTAAATCTTAGGATTTTCTGATAGCTTGTATGTCCTGTTAAATAGTCCTCTATGGCACATTTCTCTCCAGAGTTGATCAAGTATGCCATAAACACAGAGCATGTTGCTTCTTTCTTAACAAACCTCCAGCGTTGACATCAGTTTGGTTTTCCAACATGTAGCTCATTTGATGAGAAGAAAGAAGCGTGATTTGTTAAACATCAATGAGTTAAGCCAGTAACTTAGAATGAATCAATTGGGAAGTATAACCCAAACCATGATAAGCTTTTAAACAGTGGTGAATGACTTCATGAAGATGGAAGAACAGACAATACTCCAAGCAAAAGAAGTACTTATTCAGATGAATTCATAAAGAAGAAAGTGAAATGATATACCATAGTCAGAGACACTTACTTCTTTACTCAACTTCTCAATTTCAGCGGTATAATAATCAATGGCGTCCACAGTTTTTCCCCAAAGGCCCCAAAACCCTGTCTATACATGACTGAACATGAGATTCGTTATGTATGATTAACTCAATATATTTAACAAGAAAACCAAAGAGCAAATGAAATTAAAATAATGCTTTGCTGTTCAAAAAAGCAACAAGGCAAAGAAAAAAGTACCTTCGTCTTTGGCTTAATCTTAGGGTTTCTCTCATACTTAGTTTGGTAGTATGTAAGCCAATTTTGATAGCTCTTCTTCTTTTCCACCAATTTAGCTAGATTATTTGCATTGTAAACAACCTACAAGTTGCATTAGTTTAAGGTTGATCAATTGCAGTAACTGCAAACCAGGACATGTAAGAATGAGAAATGGCTAAATCCCTATTTCTTGCTAGGCTAGATAAAACATATCATAACTATGTTATCTAAAGAAGTGAAGAGAGATGATATTAAACAACATCATATTAACTATCGTTTCACATCAATTTATGAAATGCATCATATTAAAGGATAGAAACCTGGTGTGTTAGATAATGATCTGGATGATTCACGCAAAAGAAATGTTCAACATGCTCGCTCACTGATTCATCTGGATCTGGAGGAACATTTCTCACAAGGACCTATAGGAGGAAAACGCTGGTAAAGTAACCAAAGGGTGTACCACAAAACAGTCTAAACATTTCAATGAATTATGTCATGCACCTACAGTTAACTGATCAGGCCGACGATTTTCAGAGGCAAGAAACTGCAGCCTCATGGTTGATATTATATGATATTCTTTGTATAGTATATAGCAGGTCCAAAACGTGACTGCATAAGCCATTACCAGGTGTGCCCAAAACCTGATCAAAAAAGAATAAATGGAAGGTTAATGTAGTTAGTAACAAGTCTTCAACAGCATAGGTGTATCCTTATAGAAACCACTAGATAAAGGAAGCTGCAATCGCTAAGCCTGAGGTGCTATTTTGTACATTACTCTTTTATGTAATAGAAGTGAAGAATACAGGAAAGTCTGTCAATCTTGTGCCAAAACATCTGAGCATGAGCATATGTTCATTAACAGTTATTACAGAACATACAGATGTGCATGAATATCTTGTTGATACCTTGATAATAGAATATTATTTAAAATATAATTATGACTTGTGATGTGAAACTTCTATACCAAATTAATTATCAATTATGAACATTTTTAGACCAAGAAAGCTACCAAGACAGAATGGCAAAACTAAATTCTTACCTCTGTGATCCAGAAGGGACATTGGATATCGAAAGTTTATCGATACCGCTGAATGTAAGATCCTCAATTTGCTCCAAATGTTTCCCAGTCCAATTGACAGGCACTAAAACCCCAAATGAAAATAGTGCAATAGGAACAAAGATTTTCAATCTGCATTAATAATTCTGGAGTTAGTTCTGATACACGGAAACCACCAGTAACGTAAACCAACTCTTTTGCCACTTATCCTTTAAAAGTTCCTAGTTAAAACGAATGAAGCATAACTGAAAGCACTGTGTTATCAATAAAAACTATAGCCTTCTAATGAAATGGACAAGGAATATTCTAAATGTTGTGAACTCACCCAAGAAGGTATATCCGTATATAGACAGCAGAATCAAGACCAGCATGATCGATAAGCTCTGGTTCTGGCATTCTTAGAGCTGCAGGCATCCAATTCAGGAACCTTATGTATGTTCTGCAATCCAAGTTGACAAATTTCCTCACAAATGCTCCGGAACTTCTTGGGCTTGCTCGTATTCCCTTCAGATACCATTTTGAGAAGTACACTCTGTCATTGAATGGCTGGAGTCGTAGAATAGCAAAGGCCACAAGAAATGCAAATGCAGATAGAAGATTGAGCACAGCTGACAGAAGAATATCATCACTGCTAGCCATGTTTCCTTCAGAATGTTACTTGTAACCTGTTATTACCAGGGAAGACAGGTATGTATAAGAGTGACAACTTTGCCAATTATGGTATTTCTCATAATGAAGAAAAATACTACTCATAATCAAGTTTAACAAATATGCTATCAGTCCAGTTAGCAGTCAGCAGAGGTAGAGGCGGATGCAGCCTTTTTCACTGGGTTCAACTGAACCAGTAATTTTAACGCAGAATATAAATATATGTGAAAAATTGGTAAAATTTCAACAAATATCAAATTTGGACTCATAATCTCAATAGTCAGCACCTTTTGCTTTATTATCAAGGCAACCAGAAGAACTAGAACCTATAGGCACTCCTTTTTCGCAGCCGCAATGATGGCGCACTTTCGAGGTCTGTCAATCACCTTTTGACTCTATCAGGCCGTACTCTATCAGCCTGTACAAGTGCAACGCCAATATCAACAAATTAAATACCAAAATATGCATACTTCACCTCAAACTTAATTGAAGAAGCATCAAAGTTATAATTTATAGACTTGCGCAGAACAGTATGCTACGAGACATGTGGAGCGTTTTTTGTAACACCCCTCATAACCAAAAAAATAATCACAAAATAAACTTATTGGGTCCCATGGGGATGGGAGAGAGGGCGGAGCTACTGTAGTGCTTACAGCTTCGGCAGAACCTAGTAACTTTGGCTCAAATCATGTATTTGTGTTAAGAAATTTATTTAATATGTATACATGATTTATTCAGAACCTAGTAAGTCGTCTTTTCTAGAGTTCAGAATAAACTCAAAATTCTAGCCCTGCCAGATGGCAAAGTCTTGAATATGTCAGTTGAGAGCATGATAATTATGTTTAAGCCCGGAGTTAACAGGATCAAGATAATGGGAACATGAAACAACTACGCCGTAGATGAACATGGACGACATACAATGTTATAAAAGACCTTGTTATACATTAATGTCTTTTAAACAAATCAGAATCAGGAACAGAGGCCCATCAGTTTTGTTTTTTCCATTCATTTTTTTCTTTCGAATTCAGAAATTGCTTTATTCAAGATCATGGGCTTGAAAAAAAGCTTATATCTCTCCAATAATCAACAAAACACATGAAAAAAACAAAAATTCGTGGTTCATGATTATACAAACTTGAGAAGATTAATGAACAAAGAATTGACATATGACAAACCTTAAAACGAGCCAAGTTTCTTGCTTTCCGTCCTCTCACAAGAACCCAAACGTATCGACAAGATTTTTTTTTCTTCCCTTGTGGCCAAGCAAACAAAGGTATTTTCTTCAATAAGAATGAAGTGAATGGAATATACGTGAATGACAGAACAGAAGAGAACAGAACCTCAATGTAATGTGGGTGAAGAAAAGGATTCAGTTAGGGTTTCTTAGAGAGGAAGATGATGATTTTGATGGAGAGGAAAATGTGCCCGAGCCTGAGGAGGGGGCGGCAACAAGCACGGGACCGGCCTTCCTTTGCTGTGTGCGTATGCGTCTCATGACACTTTCACCAAAAACACGTTGTATCCTGTTATTATTAGCAATTCCATCTGCTGCTGCGTAACTTGAAATATGCAATTACAAATATACCCCTATGCGCTTTGAGAATGCTTTTCTATATCTAAACTATCCGTTCATCTAAACGATAACTACTACTGTTAATTCAGTTCAAATCTCTTTGTAAAATTAGAGGAGACATAACTTTAATGAATTTTGTAAGCCTCGGGGAAGAATTTAAAAGGTCAAACACTCTTGCTAATTTAGAAAAGAAGAGATTAAAAAAATAAAGTAAGAATTTTTTTGTATTTGACATTTTCCTGACAGTCCATCTTATTAGTAGTGTATAGCTTTTTAAAATATTTAATGAATGAAATATGAATATCATTTCAGAATTGGATATTAAATAACTTTATTACCTTTTATACAATAATCAAATTAAAAAAAGTGAAATTTTTAATAACTTTTGATTTAGAATAGCCATATGAGATGGAGACTTGAAATTGTAATGACTGAGTACATACGGAGACACTTAAAGTTGGCACGATTTTTCATTTAGACACCTAAACTCAAGGGTGTTCCTATTGAGCACTTATACTGCCCGAAACTTATTCCAATTAAGCATTTCTTGTTGAGTTGGCATATAAAGTGAGTTTCACCCGCCAATATAGGCGCGTGAAGATCCAAAAATAATTTTTTTTATTTCCTCCTCCTTCTCCCTCAAAAACAAAACAGATCTGAGGCAGTCCCCTCTTCACTGCCGGAATCCGGCGAGAGAAACCGGCGGACTCATCCTCTCCAAAAAACCAACGAGCCCCCCTCTTCTTCTTCAACCCTAAGAAACCAGTTGTACCCCATCTCCTCATCTCCAGCCGCTGCCGCAAACAAACCATGCCGCTCTAAGAGATTTCCGGCCACCACGCTGCCGCTGAACTTCATTGCCGGCGGCTAGCGACCCGTCTCCAAGACCATAGCCGGCAGAACTCCAACCCAACCGCCAGAACTGAAATGAAGAAGAAGAAGCAGAGAACTGAGACTAAAATGAAGAAGAAGAAGCAGCAAAAGGAGAAACAGAAATGGGTCGCTGGGTTGGAGAACCATTGATTAAACCCTAAACATCATTAATGGGGTCTTTAAAAAGCTTGAAGGTTTAAAATGGGTTACTTGATTTGATGAAAGTTTGGAAAATTAATATTGGGGTTGTCTTCGGGCCGTCGTGGGGAATCTTTAGCTGAAGTTATAACAAATTTGGAGGAGTTTTCTCTTAAAAATTTGGATTAAAATCATGCTTAGAACAAGAACACACATGAAAATAGTGAAGAACACCAAGACCACTGATTTCCAGAACATAATTCTCATTTTTTTAAAAATGTGTTCTTTCCTGATTGGGTGTAAATTAAGCTTTTCTTTTCTTTTTGAGAATGTTATTTTTATTTTATTTATTAAATAGATTTACCATAATTTTTCCTTTTTTTTTATTCAGAATAATATGTCCTTTTTTTATTCGTCATTCGCCACGTCAGCAGCGAGTGCATTGCACAAACTTTGTAAGTTTGGCTGATTATCAAAGAAGTGCTTAATTGAAATAAGTTTCGGATAGTATAAGTGCTCAATAGGAACAACCTTGAGTTTAAGTGTTTAAATGAAAAATCGTGTCAACTTTAAGTGTCTCTGTATGTATTCAGCCAAATTGTAATAAGTGTATTAGTATAACATTTAATCATTATAAAAGGCAATAGAAGGTCCTAATAAACGAATCTGTCATAAAGAAGTTTGACTATGTCGCTATTCATCTAAAAGTAAAATTAATAATTTAAAAGTATGAATTAAATTATCAGTTATAACATGTCAAAAAGGGAATTAAAGCCCACCAAATTGGTTCTGACTGAAACGCTTTAAGTTTTTGTCATAGATGTTTAAGTTTTAATATCATTCCACAAACATCATGAAGTAATTAAAATAAGTTTTTATTTGACATAACACATAAACAAACCTTTAAATTTAGTCTTAGCTGGCAAGTATGCCCTATAACTTTGGGTGGACACAAATAGGCACCTCAACTTGTATAAAATTGAACACGTAAAAATAAATGCTGACATGGCTCATACATTTTGGAAGTATCAAGATGATCATTTTGTAAGATGGGGTGTTCAACTGACAAAGTGGAGATAAATTGAGGTCCTACGTATGCACACCCAAAATTGAAAAGCATACTTGCTAGCTGAAGTCAAGTTTAAGGGCATATATTATGCATTATGCCTTTTTTATTTTCATATAATTAATCGGAAAAATACGAAAACAAGCACCTTCCTTTGGAAGGATATTAGTTGGCATGAAGGTTCTAGGAAACATTAGATATTGTTAAGAAACGGAGAGCTGCATATTTGAGCTAATTCCACAAATGCCCTTCGCGTTTACTGCGTGTCCAGTTTCTGTTTTGGCAAAGGGCTAAATATATCCCTCTACTTTCAAATATTGTTTACTTGTACCCTTTGTTATACTATTGGGCTATCCATACCCCTACCGTCATACTTTCGAACAAAAATACCCCAATTGTCATACTTTGGAACAAAAATACCCCTATTTTGGATGGAGTGCAACGTGGCAAAACCAGATTAAAATGATCCATTTCTTTTTTTTACCCGATCCGTTTTAAAAAAAAACACAAACCCGACCCCTATTTTCATTTTTTTCGGTTTTTTATTAAATTTCAGTTTTTAAAAAACGAAAATATTTTGTTAAAAAACAAAACAAAAAAATTCTGTTTTTACAAAACAAAATTCTTTGAAAAAACTGAAAACATAAAAAAATATTTTTCAAAAAACGAAAAATATTTTGTTGAAAATAATGTTTTCAGTTTTTAAAAAACGAAATATTTTGTTATAAACTAATTTTTTTTTTGTAAAGGGTTTTAGCTTCTTTGGGTTCTATAAATAAAGGAAATCTTTGTAAAGTATATGAAATTTTATTTAACATATGAAAAGAAAAAGAAGGAAGAGAATGGTGTGTGTGGGAGGGGGGGGGGGAATTTTGGGTAATATAGCAAAATATTTTCGTTTTTTAAAAACTGAAAACATTATTTTCAATAAAATATTTTCGTTTTTTAAAAACTGAAAACATTATTTTCAATAAAATATTTTCGTTTTGGAAAACTATTTTTTTTCATTTTTTTAAAAGAAATTGTTTTGTAAAAACTGGAAAAATAAATTTGTAAAAACAGTTTTTTTTGTTTATTAACAAATATTTTCGTTTTTTAAAAACTGAAATTTAAAAAAAAAAATTGGAAAATAAAATAAAAATAAGGGTCGGGTTGTGGGTTTTTTTTAAAAACGGATCGGGTAAAAAAAAGAAGTGGGTCGTTTTAATTTGGTGTTGCCACGTGGCACTCCATCCAAAATAGGGGTATTTTTGTTCCAAAGTATGACGATAGGGGTATGGATATCCCAATAGTATAACGAAGGGTACAAGTAAATAATATTTGAAAGTAGAGGGGTATATTTAGCCCTTTTCCGTTTCTGTTTTGTATAGTGTTATTAGAGGTGTCAAACGGACCGGGTTTACCCGGCCCGGCCTAGCCCAGATCAGTTGAAACCCGGCCCGGCCCGACCTGGTACTTAGGGGGCCGGGTGGGCTGGGTTACTGGGGTTAGGGGAGTTGGTCCGTTCACTTTAATTCATCCGGTTAACCAGACCGGTCAAACCCGATCAACCAAAATTCCTGTAAAACCGGTTCACCGGCCCAACCCGGTTTAACGGCTAGATTTCAATTTTTTTTAAAGGTTTTAGAGTCTAAGGTAATGCAAAACCTTTGAATTTACTCTTTTTTCGTTAATTTACTTGTTAAATGTAAATATTTCAATTTGTAAGTTTGAATTTTGAAATAAATATAGCACTTGCAATTTATAAGTGTAATTTTTTCTCATCTTCATTGTATTCTTTATATTTTTACTTTATATTAATATAATTTATAATAGTTATACAAAATACAAAAAAAATTAAAAATTACACTAACCCGGCCCCGACCCCTTGTACCCGTAACCCTTACGGTTTATTTTTAACCCGGATGAATTCGAATCCGTTAAGCCCGATAACCCCTAACTCGTAACCGGTCCGGTTCAAAACTCAGACAATTTCAATTTTTTCCTACCCAGCCCGATCCGGCCCACCCGTTTAAGACCCTTAAGTGTTAATTGTTATGATGATTCGCTGTCTTGGGCGGTTGCAGTGGGCACCTACTGCATTTGTTAGTCCGAGGTTATTCTTGTCTTCCAAATTGACTTCTTGTTTGTCTCAACTTTTTTCTTTTCAAATTCAAATTCCTAATGGCTATGCTTCTTGTCGTTTGTGGTGACTGAACCAGTGAACACATGGCGGGTGCATTGCAAATGAATTCTGATATCTGACACGATCTTACGACTTTATGTTGTGATGTTTGCTTGTGTTATTTTATTTTTAATTGGTGTCCATTTGCTATATCTATGCATATTATGTGTTATAAATATTATCTTACACAAACATATAAAATTGTGTGACAATTGTAAAATTAACTCAAGTAAATTGTGTTTGAGGCAGACTTTAATTCTCGTCTCAAATTAATATTTATCTTAAATTATTCTAAAGCAATATCAATCTATTATTTCTTATGCACGTTAAACCATTTCTTTTCTATTATATTGTTCAACGCGGTAAAAATTCAGGCAAAGCAGTTACAATGAGTAATTTCATTTTCAAAAACAGCTACGTTTCCAATTAAATCATGGTTTGGTTTACGCCGGGAACCCGTCCTTTTCAATCTATACGTGTGCGTAAGCTATAAAGATCGTAATCTTGAACAAAACTATCTCCATGCTGGTGAGTGGTGACGTCCTATCTAAATTTATATAGATTACTTCAAATAAAGATAAACTCTTTCCTAAATTGGAAACAGGAGAAGGAAAGGGGATCTAAATAGTAACTCAAAAAATCAATGTAACCAAAATATTTGTTTACAAA